CATTTTACCCACCTCGGAAGGATGGAAGGCTGAGTCAACCCTGAGCTGGTGAGATTTGAACTGCTGAACTGCAGATAGCAGTCAGCTGAAGTGGCGTGCAGTACTGCACTCTACCCACTGCGCCACCTCGGCTCTACAACATTTTTTGCCTCCCAAAACCCCGCCCCCTTCACCAAAATGGCCACGCATAGCCTTTAGGAGGCTCCTCAGGGATGGGGATGAGTGAAAAAACTGGGTGCTTTTTGCTCAATTTTGCCCCCCCCCACAGCCCCAGGAGCATTCTACAAGCTTTCTAAAGGCTATTCATGCCCCCCCTTTAAAAAGGGTCCGTTTTTGCAAAAAACAATCCATTTTTTGCTCATTTTTGCCTCCCCCACCCCTCCAGGAGCACTCTACAAGCCTCCTAAAGGCTCTTCATGCCCTTTATTTTGGGGAGAAAAAAAAATGGGCCCGCTTTTGGGAGGTTTGCAGAGTGCAAAAACTTTTTTTTAAAAAAATTGCCTCTTCAAAACCTTGGTGCGTCTTGTACTCTGGTGCGTCTTATACTCCGAAAAATACAGTACCTGCTTAGAGACAAGCCCGGTCTATTGAATTCTACTCTCCTGGGTAGTGATGACAAGCAGAATAAGCTTGGGAAATCCAGGGGAACGGATGAGGGATTAGGAGCTGTCACAATCAGGCAAGCCGCACCTCGAAAAGTTATTCTAAGGCTGAAACGGACGTGAAGGGAGCCCTGCCCAATTTCATAAACTTGTTTTTGCCGTGAATCGCACGGTCGTTAAGTGAACCCAGCTTTTCCCCACTGCCTTTGCTTGTCGGAAGCCGGCAGTCACCTGCAGCTGTTGTAAATACAGACAGTCCTCAAATAACGACAATTGAGCCCCGAATTTCTGTTGTTAAGCGAAACATGTGTTCAGTGAGCTTTGCCCCATTTTACGACCTTAGTTGCCTCTGTTGTTAAGTGAATCACTGGCAGCTGTTAAAACTAATCACAGTGAACCTGGCTTCCCTCTTGACTTTGTCTGTCAGAAGGTCGCAAAAGGGGATCGCGTGACTCTGGTCCATAGTTAAAGCAGGGGTGTCAAACTCACTGAGGGCCATATCAGGGCTGTGGTTAGTGGGCGTGGCCAGCTTGATGCCACTCACTGGGTGTGGCTGACTGGGTGGGCGTGGCCAACTTGATGCCACTTTCCTAAACTGCTGGCATGTTTCCTCTTTGCATTGGGTAGACCTATTGTGGCCCGCCAGTTGTGGAGCTGGCAACAGAGGCGGACAGTGAGGAGGCTGGGGAAGGGCATCGGCCAGTCCTGGAGTCTGGGGAGGGCTCTGATGAGGGCTCTGTGTCAGAGGCAGAAAGGGGGCCGAGGCCGTCTGGCAGTGACCAGGTGCCTACAGAACTAGAGAGCAGTGAGGCAGAGGAACAGCTGGAGCCTGTTCCCAGTGTGCGCATGCACAGAGTTGCCAGGAGAAAAGAACTCAGAGTAGACTTGGGAGTAAAGTCACAGGTGGAAGGTGATTGGCCCCTCCCATAGGAAATAAAAGAGGAGCGAAAGGGGAGGGGGCTTTCGCAGGAAAGAATTTATTTGTTCGTCAGTTCATTTCAGGAGTGTGAAGATCTGTCCGTGAATCTCAGAAACTCTGTGCCCAAGTCTTCCCTTGCACAGCCCCTCATTTGGACAATATTTACATGGCAGCTTTCCAAGCCTGTGGTCATAAATATTCCTTTGAAAGACTGTTTGCCAGACTTTGCACAAGGTGAATGAGAGGAATTCACATCAGTTTAATGAAAGGGGTTTCGTCGGGACCAGGACTCTCCCTCCTGCTTTTGGGGGAAGCCGAGGTCAGAACAAGACCAGGCCGAAGTGATGTGGGTGGCCCCTTACATTTTCCAGATGTGGCCAGCGGGCCTTGAGTTTGACACCCCTGAGTTAAGGCAGCGAAGAAGGAACGGTTCTGCGAGAAGCCGAATCGTCATGCTTGCCCTTCACAAACACGCTCTCCGGATTAATGACGCAACAGACACGTGCAAAAAGAAGAACCTGATGCGGTTTCTCGCACTCACCTCCTTATCAAGGTCTGCTGCAGGCTCTTGCAAAGGGTGAGCGATTCCCCCATGAACATGTGGCACATGATGACCTCGCGGCAGGCAGCCATGAACGACATCACGGCGTCGGACTGGAGGGTCCCACTCCGGGAGATGATGCAGAGGCGCTGCAGGGACGAACAGCAGCTCAGCGCGCAGAAGAACTGGGCATTGGCGTGGAAGTAAGGCTGTTCAAGTCTGCAAGGAGGAGGAGGAAGAGGAAGAAGGTTGGAGCAGATCTTCAAAGAAATTTGAGAAGGGGCAACAGGGGTGGGATTGAAAAATGTTAGCAAGGGATTCTCTGCCTGGCTGCTGGATGGCCGTGGCCATGGGGGCGTGGCCTAGTCAGCTTCCTGCACAATGGAGGGTGGGGTGCATTTTCGCCCTCCCCGGGCTCCAGAGAGGCTTTTTGTGCCCAGAATCCTGGAATTCTGGCTGGGGAATGCTGGGAGTTGAAGTCCGCTCATCTTCAAGCTGCCAAGGTTGAGAAACACTAGACCCCTAGGTGACCTGTCTGGTCCCTTCCAACTCTATGATTCACGGCTGGCTGGGGAATTCTGGGACGTGAAGTCCATCCGTCTTCAAGCTGGCAAGGTTGAGAAACCATGGTTCTTAAGGCAGTGTTCAATTCAGAAGAATTGAGGAGACCTTACTAAATCCTTAAAGAGCAAAACAGGCACAGAAAAAAGAGGGGGCAGCATTCTCACGAAGCCACTGGAGATTTGGGGAGCTGTGGGGGGGGAGAAAGAGGGGGAAATCAATTTGGGGCAACTTTTCAGCCATTGTCTTCAATACTGGAGCAGAACTAGGAAAAAAAAATCCCATCTTGTAATTTGCTGCTCGATCCACCAGATGGCGGTGTTGCTCTATCACCTTCTGAAGTTTCCTGATTAAAATTTACCTTTTCTAAGGCTTCCTCTAAATCCAAATAAACATTTAAAGGTAAAGGTTCCCCTCGCACGTATGTGCTAGTCGTTCCCGACTCTAGGGGGTGGTGCTCATCTCCGTTTGAAAGCCGAAGAGCCAGCGCTGTCCGAAGATGTCTCCGTGGTCATGTGGCCGGCATGACTAAACACCGAAGGCACACAGAATGCTGTTTCCTTCCAACCAAAGATAATCCCTATTTTTCTACTCGCATTTTTTACATGCTTTCGAACTGCTAGGTTGGCAGAAGCTGGGACAAGTAACAGGAGCTCACTCTGTTACATGGTGCTAGGGATTCGAACCGTCGAACTGCCGACCTTCCTGATCAACAAACTCAGCATCTTAGCTGGACTTTTTCTTTCTTTCTTTCTTTCTTTCTTTCTCTCTCTCTCTCTCTCTCTCTTCTTTCTTTCTTTCCTTCCTTCTTTCCTTCCTTGAGCACATTTTGTTTCTCTTCTGAAGGACTGAAGAAGCTTCTTGGACAAGAAGCAAAACGTTTTCAAGAAGGAGAGAGAAATCCATGAAAGTTCAATTATCTTTGGAAAAGCATCTGTAGAAGTAGAAAACAGAAGAGAGCTCAAAGGGACTTTGGAGGTCTTCTAGTCCAGCCCTCTGCTCAAACAGGAGGCCCTATAACACTGATGGTGATCCTTTCGGCACCGAATGTGCTTGTGTTTTCGTGAAAACGGGCCCATTTTTTTTTAAAGGACATGAATAGCCTTTAGGAGGCTTGTAGAGTGCTCCTGGGGGCTGGGGAGGGCAAAATTGAACCAAAAACAGACCCTTTTTGGCTCATTTCTGCCCTCCCCAGCCCCCAGGAGCACTCTGGAAGCTTCCTAAAGGCTATGCATGGCCATTTTCGCAAAGCGGGCGGGGTTTCGGGAGGCAAAAAGGGCTGTATTCGATGTATAAGACGCACGCAGATTTTCAGCCTCTTTTTTGAGGGAAAAAGGTGCGTCTTATACTCCGAAAAATATGGTAGTTTCCATCAACTGTTTCTTGTCCTGCCTTCAGATGCTTTGGAGAATAAGCTGACACACACACACAAACACAGGTCTTTGTGGCAGCCTCTCAAACACTGGAATAATGCCATCAGGTCATCGCCAAGTCCTCCTTTCCTTTAGACCAGGGGTCAGCAACCTTAAACACCCAAAGAGCCACAAAGGTCCTAACAGAAACAAAAGTCCGGTTTCCCCCATCATAGAGTCTCCTCCTAGCACAGCTTCCTTTTCCTCTACCAACTGGAAGTCCAGTTCCCCCACCATAGAGTCTTCTCCTAACACAGCATCCTTTTTCCTCTACCAACTGGAAGTCCAGTTTCCCCCACCATAGAGTCCCCTCCTAGCACAGCGTCATTTTTCCTCTACCAACTGGAAGTCCAGTCTCCCCCACCATAGAGTCCCCTC